AAATATTTTTAAAAAATTAACAAAAATAAATTTTATTTTACAACCCAATATATCTATGTTTATAAAAATATATCATCAATTATAAAAAAGGTTTTCTAGTGTTAAATCCACTGTCCAATATATAAATGTTTTTGCTTGAAATTAGCTGTACGAATAAACGTGAGATTTCTGAAGTCGCATTCGTTTGAAGAATTATCTAAAATTCAATAATGGAATAAATATATATATATATATATATATATATATATATATATATATATATATATATATATATATATATATATATATATATATATATATATATATATATAGAGAGAGAGAGAGAGAGAGAGAGAGAGAGAAATAACAAAATAGATAATATTGTACAATTCATTATTTGTAATGCAAATCAATTTTGAATAAAGATTTATATATATATATATATATATATATATATATATATATATATATATATATATATATATATATATATATATATATATATATATATATATATATATATATATATATATATGCTTGTAAGTCTTGTCCAAAAAAGGCTTGTTAAAGTGAAATTCGATCTCTTTTCGACCACGATGTTGAATGCACGATGGAGTGCAATTAGTAGATAAGATATCTATTGCAAAATGCTTAAATAATAACTTTTTCATCACCTGAAACTCAAATACAATTTATAAACACATTTCTTTTTTTCAAATTTCAAAGCATAAATATGAAGACAATCTTCAATGTAGGTATGAGAACTTATGATTGTGCTCTCATTAAGTTAGTAGACAGAAAGGAGCCTGTTCGTTTAAACATCTCATATTCCATTTTGAGTCAAATGACTTGCTGTCAGACAATCAATACAGTTTTCGATCCTCTCGCTCATCAATTTGCTATGTGGCTAACTACTGTGACTGAAAGATTGTGCATTAGATAAAGGCTGAGAGGCAAGGGCTATTGCTCTTGACATATCTAAGGTTTTCAACAAAGTTTGGCATGTTAGTCTTCTCCATAAGCTTGATTCATATGGTGTATCTGGAAGAGTTTTTGAGATTATCAAATCGTTTCTTTGTAATGGCTTTATAAAGCTCATCATCAAAAGCCAACACTCTTATTTATTTCCAGTAACTTCTGGGGTACCTCAAGGTTTTATTATTATCTAAATTATTAATTTTTCCAGCAACATTACATATAAGGTAACTCTTTTTGCTGATGACTCAACTTTATACTCCTGTCTTGACAAAAAGTCTTCTGTTTTAGATTGCTTAGAACAGGCAGCCAATCTTGAATCTGATCTCACTTCTTCGTGCTCATCATTTCATCTCTCCTGATTCCATTCTTCACCTCTACTAATCTCTTATTAGCCCCTGTATGGAAAACTGTTGTCATATTTAGGCTGGCTCTTCTTATGATGCTCTTTCTTTTCTAGATGAAAAATGCATTGTAAATACAGTTGGACTTGGTCTATCTTCTAAGCTCAAGCCTCTTTCCCATCATTTTAAAGTTAGATCTTTCTCTTTTCTACAAATACTATCATGGTCACTGCTCTAAGAAGCTTTTATCTCTAGTTCCATGTACTAAAACTCATTCTCGCTTGACTCTTCATTTAACAAAGCCTCATTCATTTTACTGTATCTGTCCCTGCATGCTCCAAAAACTTATATTCGTCTAGTTTTTTTCCACACGCTTTAAAGCTCTTTCAACCCTTAAAACTATCTATCTTTTTTCAAACCTTTGGAGCTCTCTCTCATCTTCGTGTTTTCCTGACTCATACAAACTACATCTTTTTAACTCTTCTGTTAACCGTCTCCTTGCTCTATAACTATATTATTTTTTTCTAGTAACTCCCAACTTAATAGTGGTTGCTTGCAGCCTTATTAGGAGTGAATCAGAATAAAATAAAAAAATCATGATGGTAACCATGTATTTAGACTCAATATAGGTACAGTCATCTTGTAGTATATATGTATCAAGCAGTTGATAATCACAAACTTCATTTGGTAAACATATTGGCAAAGATTCATACTCTTTAACTCTGAATGTGCAAAATAAATATATGTGCATATATGCAGATGTCACAAAGTAGCAGCTTACCGCAAAATAACCAGAGTTGTCATAATTAAATAATATTTTGAAAAACAAAGGAATTTCATCAGTTTTTAATAAAGATAAAAAAAATGTATTGTACAAATGAAACTGAATCCAACTTATATTACTAGCATTACATTTACAAATAGTTTCTTTTTTATCAAAAACATCATTGACAACAGTGAACTCCTGATACCTTGAACCCCGGATAACTCGAAAAACTTTCGAGTTCCCCTTGAGCCCTTACTAACACTTTCTTATAAAAATCACTCGATGACTCAAGCCCCTGATAACTCGAACATTCACCTGATAAGTCAAACTGTTTTATTTGTCCCAGTGGCTGATATTTTACCTATAACTTGATCTTTAAAAAAAAAAATAACACAACGTCTTATTAAAGTGATTAATTTTTTTTATGAAATCAAATTTATTTAATTTTCTGCATATCACTCAAAAGAAATATTTTGACATATTGAATGTTCCGATAACTCAAACATTCTCTAACTTGAATTGATTTCTTGGCCCCCTGGAGGTTTGAGTTATTGGAAGTTATATATATATATATATATATATATATATATATATATATATATATATATATATATATATATATATATATATATATATATATATATACATATATATATATATATATATATATATATATATATATATATATATATATATATATATATATATATATATATATATATATATATATATATATATATATATATATATATATATATATATATATATATATATATAGGCTTTGAATGGCTAATGAACTTTAACTCAGATAAGACTTAATAGTTTTTAGCTAATCGTTATCACAATAATCGAGATCTTTCTATTTTTATGAACGGTAATATACTTGATGAATCATCTACACTTTGGCTCCTAGAATTAACTCTTACCTCTGATCATTCTCAGAAACCATATATCAAATCCATTTCAAAATAAAATAGCATGCATCAGCTAAGTTAGAAGTATACATAGAAAGCAATGAGGAGGAAATCTACAATTTTTGCGAATCTAAAACGGTGGTTAAAATTGAGCAACGGTTATCAGGTTAAATTGATAACATTAAAAGAAAATAAGAACACCAAAGTTTTCGCTTATTTACTGACATTACATAAATTTGATAAAACTCTACATTGTCGCTGAAAGAACATCAAACTAAAATCTGTATATACAGATGACAAAAAAAATCCTGAATACTTTTGCTGCTTTTAGTCATATAAACTATGCAGCATCAGCTCAACATGTAACTTTTGTATGCTCAACAAATGATATTTCTTAGTAGTTTGCACCCACAACTTAAAGATTGCTCTAATAACAACAAATTTGATGCGGATTTGATCATAGAGCAGACACTCATGTAATCTAGCAAAGGCACAGGAGGGTTAACAAGAGAATGCGGCATAAAGACACTAGTGAATATTGAATATACATTATACCACAGCTATCAACGAAGCAATAAAGTTCCTTTTGAATTCCACAATAAAAACTTGCGTGCAACATGTAGATCCTAGTCAATTCACAAATGAAGCAAGATGTGAGTGATCACCTAAGAGAAAAAATTTTATTACTGGCTTTCAAGTAGAAATCTATTTTCATTAAAACTAGTTCATTAAAACATTCGATAAAAACTAGCACTCATTGTCATCTGGTTTTATTATAATACTACGTAAGATGCAGTAAAAAAAACACACACACACACACAAAAAAGAGGTCAGTTTGTAAAGCTACTTTTGTACTGTTTAAGAAATGATGGGAATACTATTATCAATTGCTCAGGCGATGCTGATACAACTATTTTTTTCAACGACATTAGGATTGGTTTTATAAAACTCAAACTATTGTGGTTGCTAATGATCTTTTTGTTATGATCGTTTACCTTTGGCAAAAAGAAATGGGTGGTACTATTTTCAAAGAATATTACCGGCATAAAGGATGAAGCATAAAGGCATTAAGCTCATTTTTTAAATTAAAACTGAAAAAATGTAGTTTATTTATTTTATTTACAAGAAATATCTTGAAATGGCAATAAGGCCTAAGTTGTCACCATCAGAGCAAACTTATTAACCTGGATTACGATTAATTCAGGGTAATAAGCTATTTGCTCCGATTAGTTATGTTATATTATATATAGTTATATTATATGAACTCGTTCCAGACTCTACTACCAGTTCAATTAGGGGTTTCTGTTAGTATTTTTTTTTGTAGCTTGGAAGGTATTAGATAATTCATTCCAGCTTATGCAAGAGGATTTGGGATGACAGTTAAAGGACATTATCACCAATAATAATAGATTTGGGTATTGCACCTAACAACTTGTTTTAAGTCTTAAAATGTAAATGCAATGATAGTACTCAAAATTTGTGTGGAACAAATCTATATAGTTGTCACAATGCAACAAACAGTTATGTTCAGAAACATTTGGGGAATGTCAAGGACAAACCCATATAATGTAACTATTACAGTAATGTAACAAAAATGTACTATAGTATTACAATAATATAGTAAAAACGTGTCAAAGAAGGCGTTTTCTATAACCAATTTTTGTATCGATCAATAACTCATTTTTCCCAATGGCTATCAACGGGGGTTCTTTTTGATGTTACTAGATGATATTACAAGAGTATGTGCCAAAAAAAGTACATATCGTCTGAAATAAAATAATTTTTAAAATACTAATTTAACCAAAGACTGTTTTGTTTCTAGCTCCACCTCCACGTCGCTATAGTAGTGACACAAAGACAGACGGGTAAATTTGTTAAAAAAAGACGGACGGGTAAATTTGTTAAAAAAAGACAGACGGGTAAATTTGTTAAAAAAGGACAGATGGGTAAATTTGTCAAAAAGACGGACGGGTAAATTTCTTAGAAAAAATTTAATTAGTAGAAAAAAATAGACAACAAACGAAACGAAAAAACATTTATCATGGAACCAATCTACTGACACATTTGTCTTGCAAAAAATAGCATTTATGTGAGTTCATTTACATAAAATCGTCGTTTTTATCAATATTTAATAACAAAAATAATTACACAATTTTTTTTTAAATTAAAGTAATTTAAAATCAACTACAATGACGATAAACGAAAACAGTTGCACATTAATGTGAAAATTATAAAAAGAGTTTATAATCTAAGAAAAGGGTTCTATATACAAGATATAGGACAACTAATGAATTTCTCTTTTTACAAAAAAGCAAAGTTAAAGAAACAACAAAAACATTTTACTTAATAAAAACTCAAAGAAATATCACACTTCTACATTATTGCAAAATGTAACTGCTAAAAAAAAAGATATTTATTACAAGGAAAAATATATTGCTTTTTAAATTATTCAAGATTAATTTTATTATTGATATTAAATTGGCATTATAATTATAATAAATACAAATTCTTAAAGTGCTAATTACCATGAGCGGCGCCGAACACCAACCTCCGTTTGCCAGGTGGTACTAAATGCTCCGGAAGAGCTGACGGTATTTCATCATCATCTTTTATTTTAACCTCAATTAAATACATTGCTAGCGCAAACTCTTCTTCGTCTAGATGACCATCTTTGTCAATATCAGCTAGCGACCAAATTTTGGCAAGAGCATTCTTAGGTAACTTGGATTTCATCATTTCTTTTTTCGCTGCTGCCCCAGTTATTTTTCCCTCAATAGGATTAAGTTCATTAAATAACTTATCATATTTTTGTTTATCCCCAGATGAATTAACAACCCATTGACTAGTTCCAGCCCCTAACGCATAGCCTTCTGCAGCACCAGTTGCAAATGGATTTAGTTCTCCTTCAGCACTCGAAAACACACCACCTCTGACAACTTGAGAATCACCTCGGGTTTCTGCTTCTTGAGGTAACATAGCCATTAATCTAGCAATATCCTCACTTAGCATTTGATCAACTTTTTCAATCAATTTTGGCCTGAGATTGGGAAACTTAGAAAAATCATGCAATTCAAGATTTTCTTGCATTCTTTCTAAGTTTGGAAAATCCCCAGGAGATATTTCATACTGACTTTGAATACGCCTGTACGTATCACGCAAATTCTTGATGAGCTCTGCCTTTTTTTTTTCTTTACCAAATACTGCTGGCATCTCATCTTTTAAAGCAGATATAATGTAAGCATGAACCTAAATGTTAAAAATAAATCTACACACAAATCTTAATATACATATATATCTCTCTCTTTCTATATATACATATATACATATATATATATATATATATATATATATATATATATATATATATATATATATATATATATATATATATATATATATATATATATTTATATATATATTTATATATATATTTATATATATATATATTTATATATATATTTATATATATATTTATATATATATATACATATATATATATATATATATATATATATATATATATATATATATATATATATATATATATATATATATATATATATATATATATATATTTATGTATTAATTAATGAAAAAATAATTATTTTTTACTTGAACTCTTTTTTAATAACTTAACATTTTAAAGAGGATAGTTTAGCAAAAAAAACAAACAAAAAAAAAACTGAAATCTTAAATTATCTTTTTAATCATAAATGTAAAATATATTTTTGAGTTAACTTGAACTTTTACTTTCATTACATTGTTAAAAAACTTAAAATTTTTTAAAGAATTACTGAATAATCTATTGTTATACAGAGAGTAGCAAGATATCAAGATACAAAAAATAATAATGTGTAAATTAACTCATTTAAATAAGTTTTAATTACAAAAGTAATTTCAAATAATGTCACTCTCTTTGTTGATATTATATAAAAACAAATTTAATAACTCTTTTGGTTGATGTTCAATAATAACAAATTGTTAATATTCAGGAGTGTTAACAATATTGCGTTAAAGGGCTACATTCTTACTGAGCCCTTTGCCTAATGTCTTCTTGAATTATCATTACATACTGACCTGTCAGAAAACATTTATTGCAAAGTTAGCTAGTCATAGATAAATTATAAATAAAAAAATATGTGTGCTAACATATTTTTTACATTGTCACATTTTGACATTATTATTACAGAATATTCCCAAATGGTATGTTAAAAATGTATATCAGCTTCTCTTTTAAAGCACTTAAACACGTAAACTGTTTTATGTTTAAAAAAAATCACAATGTAATGTTTCATATTTATTTTGAAAGATTTCTAGCAAATATAACTTTCAAATATAGACCAATTCACTATTTTGCATCTTTTACATGTTTTACATCAATGTTATAATTTTAAATTTGAATATAAATACTATTTATAATAATAATTGTAGAGATATAATGAAATAAAACTTTTTTTTATAGATTAATTCCTATTTGTTAAAAATATACTTAGTTTTACGATATTTTGAGGGAATATTGATACCATTGTTATCGAGTATGTTAAAAAATCTTTAAAAAATAAAACCTCTATATTACACATAACTGTTTAAATTTACGAAACAATGTTCTTTGGAAGAGCTTCTTTTTCAGAGTTTTATAAGATAATTTTTTGTGACATAAGATTTGAACATGGATTTCCAAAATGACATTGTCACATAATCGTCATCATCCTAGTTAAGATCATTGTCAATAAAGGTATTTTTATTTTGTTGCATTTCCAACGCTTCCCTAACTTTCCTGTTAAAACTATTTATTTCTATTTTTAAGATATTGCAACTGTCAAGTGGAAATTTCTTTGACAAGTTTTGAAATGTTCAGAAACAGCTAGTGTTGATCTGAAATGATATTTTTTTAATTTTTTTTTTATAGAAGTATTCGCGCCAATTGTTCGAAGTTATGCTTTTTGTGATTTTTGACTAAATTTAGGGCAATTTCCAAGCATTGGTGCCAATAGAATCTGATATCAAATCCAGTTAATTTGTTTAACAATGTTTTCTCTATGTGTTCCTTTACCAAGAAAAACACTATGCTTATTTATTTAAAAAATATGTTGTGCCTATCTTACTAATTATGGTTAATAACCATTATTAAGTTTATGATAAATTAACACTTTGTTACTGTAAAGTAATTTTTTATTGATCTGTAGGCTTTTTTCCAGTCATACAACAAACTTTATAATTTTTGCCTCATTTTGTTATCAAATGTTTTTTTTTTCTAAATACTGTTACTGGAGCCTTGGATCAAAAAAAATCCAAATCTAAAATGGTTTTCTTGAAAGATTGAGTAAAGGATTTTTATTCTTTAGTTGTAAACTTAACTAGATCAAAACGTATCAATGTGATTCAAAAATATATATATATACACATTTTTTCTGTGGCTATTATAGGAGCTCCAAGACCGAATTGTTGCATCACAGAACACTGCAGAGGAGCATTTATTTGGAACTTTACGCTTCCTTCATGTCAAAAAAATACCTAGAGTAAGCATTGAACCACAGATCAGTGAAGGATCCAGCATTTTTTGGTGTTTGAGATAACAGACATGGCGCAAACTTGAAATATTTATATGTTTATATTTATGTCAAACAATGATGCTTTGCAAAATATTGCGATGATTGGAGAATGGAAACTAAAAAAGCCCTAAAATTTCATCCCCCCTGGCCAAAACATGAGAGCAACAAGTTAGTAAAATATTTTTTTTTTAATTCTTAATTTTGTTAATATTCATTGATAATATCTCTTTGAGTTCATAAATTACAACTATATAAAATTTAAACAACGCTCAATTTGAGGGGGCTACAAATTGTAACTTTTGAACGCTTAGAGATTGTAAAACAATGCTTAAAATTTATCGATGCATATAAAATAGTTAAGAATAGCAAAAAAATTATTTCATCAACTTGTTGCTTTCATGTTTGGGGCTTTTTTTCGTTCCCAGCCTCCAATCATTGCAACTTTTTAAAAAGCACCATTATTTGAAATAAGTATAAACATACAAATATTTCAAGTTTGTGCCATGCCTGTTAGCTATACTAAACACCAAAAAATGCTGCATCCGTTAGGGTGTCCCTTGATGCAGTCCCTCTTATAAGTTACTTAATGGTCTCGCAACAACAACTAAATTTTTTTATGACAATTGAAAAATATTTAGGGGTCCCCCAAGGGTCTAAAATTAAAAACCTAACACAACTCGAAGTACTGACATGATCTGGTTGATTAGCCAGCTCCAGTTATTATCCATGTGACATAATAACTGGAGCTCGCCTTCCTTCAGGTTTTGATGTTATGCAGAATTTCGTTTACTTCCAGAGGAAGCAGAAACTGACAGTTGCTCAGAGTGCACAGCAAGCACACGACCAACTACTGCCCTTCTGGATGAAATCGAGATTACCGGTCCGACACAAACCAGATATTGTTCAAAAAATTAAAGATATTTACTCACAGCATGTTGGACTAATGAAACATTGTTCAAGGAATAATGCTAAGGATCAACAGAACCAAAAAAAATACAATGAAAAGCTGGATATTTTGTTTGATATCAGTCATGCTGATTCTGACAATCTTGTCAAGAATGAGGAAGACCGACAGTTTCAAAAGTTGCAGAAAGAATCTAGATTCAAATGCATTGGATCTGTGGACAATAAAATGTTTTTCCGCGATAAGCGTTCAGCAAAACGTACGGAACGATTAGTACTCCAGCAAAGAGCAGCTTCAGCAGGACAGCAATTAATGCAGGCAGATGTGGAAACTGAAGATGAAGATGAGGAAACAGCAGAATTATCGAAGTTGTGCTCCTCAGATGATAAAGAATCTATGGATGAATTTGTTGTAAAGTCTTCAACTAATGATAGACTGATCAAGCAACCCAAGTGTGCTGGTGTGATGACTTCAAAAGTGGCTGCTGTATTAGACCGCACAAACATCAGCATTCGTAAATCAAAAATGATAATTGCATCAATGGTTAATAAAATTGGATGCTACATGACATCTGTTGTTCTTTCAAAAAGTACAGTCCATCGTCAACGACAGCTTTTTCGTTGTGAAGCTGCACAGAAGATCAAGGATGACTTTCTACCTAGTAAGTCCGTCGTTCATTGGGATGGCAAACTACTACCTGACATCACTGAAGTAGACACCAACCAAGTTGATAGATTGGCAGTTCTTGTTTCTTCACTTGTTGATGGAAATATTAAACTGTTGGGAGTACCAAATTTGACTTCTGGAACAGGACAAGTGGGATCGGAGGCAGTTCTAGACCAACTCAAATCAGGGCAGTGCAATCAAAAAGTCATTGGAATGTGCTTTAAAACAACAGCCTCAAATACCGGCAGACTGAGTGGAGTCTGCACTCTTCTGGAGAAGGCTCTCGATCGCAATCTGCTATGGATGCATATTGAGTGTATCTAGGTCCGTCAACTGGACTGGGTATTTTGATTTTTAAAAGATTCCGAGAGAAATGGTCAGAGTTGGTCCACCGTCAGCCTATGCCACGACCTGTGCCATTGGTGAGTGCAAGTGACAATCTGAAGAAGTTAATTGCTGAGCAGCTTCAACTCAGCCATCCACGATATGTCTATTAAGAATTTCTCCAACTTGCGGTTTATATGATTGGTTTAAAATGCGCTGGCGCAGCACCAGTTCGCAAGCCTGGTAATGTTCACAGAGCAGGTTGGATGGCCAAGGCGATTTACGCAATGAAGATAGAATTGCTTTTTGATGGTAATGAAGCTGTTATACAGTTGACTGCTCGTGAATACAGAGCATTCAAAGAATTAATAGATTTGTTGTCAATGCCTACATTCAATCTTGGTTTTCAAGACGAGCCATTGCTGATGCACCATTGAATGACATTTTATTGATTCAAAGGCTGCTTACGTATGAAGATGCTGCTTTGCAGACAAAAGGTTTGAAGATGATGAAGCATCACTCCTGGTACTTCAGCCAAGAGCTAGCAACAGTTTCCTTGTTCTCTCAGCATATGTCTTCTAAAGAAAAAACCCACCTTGTGTCGACAATGAAAAGTGATCGAGGATCGCATTTGCTCAAGTCTCTTCCAAAAACAACAGCAGAATTACTCATTTCTCGAAGTTTCTTCCTAGTAACTGCCATTGATGATAGCTTTCTCGATATTCCAGTGGAAGAGTGGCACGAAAACCATTCTTATCAGATGGCACGTCAACTTGTCAATAACTTGCCATGTGTTAATA